GGACACTTGCATCCGAGAATATCCAAATATCCGCTGTTAGTACTATTTCCTCTTTAGAGTCTTCACCTTCTCAGATGAGCTGCAAACATAACATGGAACCATAGAAGCAACTTGATTAAAAAAGCATCAGGATTTGGTTCTGTACAAATGCAGGCGCAGCTCTTCTCTCTCTCCTGTCCCAATGCCAGCCTTGGTGAACCAGGATAAAGCTGGAGAGGCTGAGGCTGAGGTTCCAGGTCAATGGGTTATCTACCAAGCCGGGAGTGAGGGCAGAATGCAAAAGGCTGGTGGTGCACACTGGGTTATAGAGGGCGTGGGGGCGAGGGGAGGGAGACATAGCAGTCAGTTCAGAGGTAAACATCACTGGGTATCTATTCCTGGGTCAAGCTGAGACTCTCAGCTAGAAGTCGTTAGAAGGCATTTGAATCTGACATGAAATGTTTAATGTTCCCTGGTAAAAAAAATAATAACTCATGTGTTTACGTGGGGAGTTTTTCAGAAGTGCTCAAGGCTCTTTCCCGACCCAGTTCATCCTCACTGTCAGGGCATGTCTTTGAAGATGCTAAGGAAACTGAGGTGTAGAAAGGGAAAGGGTTTTGGTGGGGGAGTGGGTACTGCTTCTCTGGTAGCTCAGCTGGTAAAGAATCTGCCTACAGTGCAGGAGACCTGGATTCGATCCCTGGGCTGGGAAGATCCCCTGGAGGATGGCAACCCACTCCAGCATTCTTGCCTGGAGAATCCTCCTGGACAAAGGAGCCTGGTGGGCTACAGTGCATGGGGTCACAAAGAGTCCCACACGACTAAGCACAGTGGGTGCTGCAATTGGATCTGTTCTGCCCTCCTTGTATGTTCTAGACTTTATTGTTGGGGTGAGTGGGAATGGGGAAGAGACTCAACTCAGGAGCCCGAGGTGGGCCAACAGATGGAGCGACCAAGTTTGGTCTTCCATCACTACTTGTCTAGGTCTTGTCACATGCTCACTCCACCACTCCCTTCCCCTTTAAATCACAGCTGAAGGCCTCTGAACATCCGGCAACCATTTTGTGCCATGCCAAACATACTCAATGTCACTACAATCACCGCACTCACTAGGACCCTTGTGGCTCAGGTCTCAGCAATTTCTCTCTCCTATTGGACTTAAACTTCCCTGTGGGCAGGGACTGACTAAGTAGACTATTCAGGATCCAAGTGGGGTTCCAGACAAATTCCAGGATGCCCAGTTCAATCTGAATTCACATAAACAAAGCATTTTATTATTTTTTTGTATTAGTATATCTCAAATATTTCATGAGACACACTAAAAAATGATTCATTGTCCATTTGAAATTCAAATTTAACTGAGCACCCTAGGTTTTTATATTCTCAGCCTGGCAACCCTAGCTCCTAAGTACCCTGGTAGGATCCAAAGATGGAGCTAACACCGAAGGGCAAAACTTGGCTCTTGTGAAATTGAGTTGGTGGCAGTGGTGCAGGCTACAGGGAGACTAGAGTTGGAATCTGGAAACTGGTTGGTGCAGGAGGGACCAGCCTCTGAGGGATGGGTGGATACACAAGTGCCCCTCTCTTTGCAAGGAGTCAGCTTCAGCACTATGCTCAAGGCTCAGCCCCATTAGAAAGGTTTGTTTGGAGAAAAGACAGAACTCTGGGTTTCCTAGTGTGCAAGGTTAAGATCCCAGAATCATCTGAACTCGGGCTCAAAGTGAGGGTTTAGGAAAAGTGAGGGCTTAGGACCCCTTGCTTGTGAAAGTTAGGCATTGATAAACATCTCTGCCCTCCATTAGGAAGAAGCAGCCTACATCTGTGACAAAGATCTATCACAAAGCCTACATCTGGGCCACTGGGCTCTCCTCCCCTGTCCCAGTGCCAGAGCCCCTGGCCCTCTTTGAGTGTTCCTGAGCCTTGGACACATCTCTGTCTGAGAGGTCAGGGAGGAGCAAGTTGCCATGGCGTACCTCTCTGCAGGGTGATAGCAGACCGCCTGATTGATTCTAGAGTCAGTACAGAACTGGGCAGTGGCCTGGTAAGCTGGATAAGCTGTTTAGCTATCAGAACCTCAGATTCTCTGAGGGACACTTGACCTCTGTGGGGTCTGATTGGAACAAGATGCTTAAGTGGCCCCAGCCAACAAGAGTCCTGTTCCTCCTGGGCCAGAAGGGACCTTGGATACTCTAGAGTCTCGTGCTAGTTGGGCATCTTGCTGCCCCTCCTGACCGATCCATTTGCCTCTGTCCTATTGTTGGTCTTTTGAACTTAGGTTCCAGGCTGTTCCAAGGACCATCCTGCTCAAAGATCTCCCCCAGGAGGTTCACCACCAGGCCGTTTTCAAGGCCTCAAGCCACCTGCAGGCCATACCTTTCTGCAAATTGTAGTGGAGCAGTTTCCTTCTCTGCTCTCCAACAGTGCCATCCTCTACCTCCCCTCCCCTGTTGCCCAGGCTCAGCTTCGCAGAGGCCACCCACTGGGCAGGAGGGACACCCCTAGGGACCAAGGCTCACTCCCAAGTCACCACCTGAGCAGACCTGAACAAGGGGTTCCCCTTCTTACTCCCAATTTTTTAGTTCTCCTCTACCAGAAAAACAGGGAGACGAAATCCACGCCTGGCATGTGCCTTTGTGTACCAGTCAGTGAAGGACAGGCCCAATTCTAGTGCTGAGCAGGCAGTTTGCCAGGAGCAGTCAAGATTACCCCTCCCTCCACTCCCAGGGTGGCAAAGGGCATTCATTACGTCGAGGGGGGAGGGGGAGCGTTTAACTCACTCTAAAGGGGGCTGGGGTGATGGGGATAGTGGGAGGGACAATTCACAAAAGCCAGGGCTAGAAACTCCCAACGGTTTTTTTTTTCCAGCGCTTCCCTTCCCTCCCTCCCCTCCCCCCCGCTAGGCTCCCCTCCCCCACCTCCAGCCGCTTGGTGGCCTGCAGCCAACACTGGCCACACTGTCCGCATTCAGGCCTCCCGCCCTCCCGGCCCTCTATCTCTTCCCCTGGCCTTCCCAACACTGTGCTCTCTCGCCACATCTCCACCCCCCCACCCCCCATTATGAACCGCGTTGACCTCTTCCGCCCTGGCGGCCAGCAGAAGCTAGGCTCTTCAGTCCCAGGCCGGCAGGCAAGGGACTTGGGGGCCAGCAACAGCCTCGCGCCTACTAGGCCCTCAGTCCCGTGGCCCCTGGCCCTGCTCGGGCCACCCCAGCCAGGAGGAAGATCGCTGCGTCTGCAGAAAGCTGGCCAGGGCCGGCCGCAGCAGTCCCGGGTTTCGGCTTCCTGGCCTGGGGGAGCGGCACCTCGGAGTTCGAGTTCGGCCCACTCCCCTCGTTCCCTGGGGACTCTTAACCCCTTCCTGCGTGGGGAAACCAGGGGCCACTGCCTAGCCACCCAAAGCAGGATGGGTGAGATGGGGTCCCACATTTTCCTGCTCACTCAGGAAGCGTTAACAGGCAAGGCCTTCCTCTCGCAAGCCCTTTCCCCCTCCCACAACCCATCCACCTCGCGGGAAGCCCCCCGCCCCCTGCCCCGGCCGAGTTCACGGCGCCTCCAGTCGCGGCTTCTGGCCTGGTGGTTTCCGGGGAGAGAGCCTGGCAGAGAAAGAGCCTCGGCAGCTTCCTCGGTGGGGCGGGGCCAGCGATGGCAGCAAGGGACGCCGGAGAGGGTGGGAGGGTCCCCTCCCCTCCCTGCGGAACCTGCCCTGCCGGGCAGGGATTATTAGGAAGGAACACCCCTGCCGCACCAGGGCCAGCGCCAGGGTGTGTTGCGTCCTGGGGGGGGGGGGGGTGGGGGCCAAAAATCAGCAGGTGCCGGTGGGCTTGGCGCGCGGGGTGGGGGGAGGTTAGCCCCACCCACGTCTCCGTGCAGCTCAAGCACCCTTGCAGCCCTCCCCCCACTATGCAGATCCCGAGTTTGCCCGCGCGGTGGGCAGCCAAGGCCCGAAGACTTTTGAGAGCGGGGGCGACGCCAGCACAGCCCCCCCGCAGGAATTCCCCTCTCCTTTGGAGAGCCTCTCGACTTCCGGGGAGCGGGGTCACTCCCCGGGTGCGGGCGCCTCTTCTCGTGAAACCAGTTCATTTTGCTTTTGCAAAAGTTTATCGCAGGATGCGATATGTCCTCCCACCCCCATCCTCCCCCCGCCCGACCTAAGGCGGAAGTAGGGTGTGGAGAGGGGACCAGCCGCTGCCCACCCACCCCCCAGTCTCTGACGTTCCCTCTTAGCTAATCTCAAAGTGAAAGTGCACCTTCAACATCTCCATTTAATATTTACATTCAAGCAGGTAATAATTGGAAGCTTATAGTTTAGACATTTCTAGTAGCAGCAGTTTCTAGAGAGCTCGTTTAGCCTTTTAACAAACTTTTTTTTTGTTTGTTTTGCACATAGAAACAACACATCCATGTGTACAGTATCAAAAAATATATACCAAGGTTACTGGTATTGCAGTTCCTGGAAGGGGAGGAAATGAAATCAACCGAAATACTGAATGAACGGGTAGAAAGGCCAACAGAAAATAGTTCGTCTGATATAGAATATAACGTGATCTAGAGGAAACTCCATAAATCTAGGTTTTTATATTTCAATATATAAATACCTACAAATAAATATATATATATCAGCCCGAAGGGGGTGGTGGGCCTTTTGAGCTCAAACAATACATTTCAATATAACACCACGTACAAACGGGAGTAAAGTCTGCACTTGACAAGTTAGCACGGTTAAAATATAATACTATAACTCTTAGACCGCCGCGAGTGGCTGCCCTGTCAGTCCCGGAGGTCCACGAGAGAGGGGGTGCGGCAGATGAGGGCGAGACCCGCAGGCACGGCGTGGAAGGTGCCAGTGTGGGCCGGGCGCTCCAGCCCAGACCCGGCAGAGGGACGCGGTTGCCGCGGCTTCGGCCGTTTTCGCGCTGGGGCCGGGCCGGGAGCTCCCGCAGTTGCAGAGAGGAGGAGTCCGCCCCCAGGCCCTAGGTGTTAAGCCCCAGAGGGTGAAGCGCTGCCTCTTCCGACGCCCTTCAGCTACACCGTCAGGTACTCCTTGAACGTGACGGTGAGGCAGTTCGCGGTGACGTCGGTGATAATTATATTCCCAAAGAAGGGCTTGAACTCGCTCGGGTGCTCCTCGGGTTCGTCCTGGGCCTCGGTCGGCGGCTTCTCGGCCGCTGTTGCCGGCGCAGCAGCCACCGCCACGGTCGCGGGCGCCTCGGGCTTCACCTGGAGGGCGCTGGGCGGCTGCCCGGCCTCGCTGCGCGTCTTGACGCAGCGTAAGTCTATGGGCTCGTCTAGGTCCGAGTCCAGCAGGATGACCTCCGGTTGCGGGAGGGCGGCGGCGGGGGGCACGTCCGCAGGGCGCTCCGCGGCGGGGCTGCCCCCCAGGCAGGTGGGGGTGCTGATGCTGCGCGCCGTCAGGCGCTTCTTGCAGGGCTCTCGCTCGCCGTGGGTCTCGGAGAGGCAGCGCTTGCGCGCATGGGAGAGATTTAGGTCGACGGCGTGGTGGTGGTGGTGGTGGTGGTGGTGGTGGTGGTGGTGGTGGGAGGGTGGGTGTGTGCTGCGGGACGGGTCCCAGGCCAGCAGGTCGGGCTTGGTAGTAAGCTGCAGAGGCTGCTCGCCGAAGGCCTCCTTGGTCGGGGAGAGCTTGCGGGAGCCGGCCTCTTGGGACTGCGGGTCCCCGGTCCCCGGCGCCTCCTCCTCCCTCCTCTTGGAGGGCGTTTCCGCCTTCTTCTCCTCCGCCCCCGCGGCCTTTTTGAAAGTCCTGTCTGCCGGGGGGTGACGCTCCTCAGCAGCCCGTTTCTTGTGGCTGGGGGAGCGCGCCTCGCCCTCGGCTGCCTCCCCGGACTTGATCTTCACCGCCTGCATGCCGTTCTCCATGTACTTGCTCATCACGATCACGATGCGGCCGTTCTTGTTCTTGTTTTTAACGATCTTCATCTTGCCCCCAATCCCGTTGCCCGTCACCGCCTCCTTGGGGGCCGGCGTCATCCCGTTGGGGGGACCCTTCTCGGAGCCCTTGCCTGGAGCCCCGGCCGTACCGGCCAGGGGCTTCACGGCTCCCAGGTAGCCCTTGGCCCCCCCGCTGTGGGGCCACTTATCGGGCGGGTGGCTCTTGGAGCCTAGGTCCGGGCAGGTGGGGCTGGGCGCCTCCTTGTGGCCGCCCTGGTACTGCAGGTCATACATTTTGGGGTCCGGCTGGTAGGGGTGGTGCTTCTTGCTGTTGAGCTGGTAGTAGTATTTGCCGCTCTTGCCTGGCGGCGGGGGCTTGCCCGCCCGCTCCTTGCTGTGCGGCTGGTACTGGTGGTGCTTCTTGCTGTTGAGCTCGTATTGGTGCCCCTGGCCCTTGCCCTGACCGCCCAGCTCCAGCTTGGCGCGGTTGTCAGCCGAGGAGTCCTGGAGTCCGGTCAGCACATTGGAACGACGGGCGAAGGTAGGTACCTGGGGGGACGGGATGGGAATGGAGGAGGAGGTAAGAGGAGGGATAAGACCAGCCCCAGAGCAAGCCTCCAGCATCAGGAGTGTCCCAGCCCCTACCAGGTCGGGGAAGGGTGTGGGAAGTCAAGACGAAGTGGAATTGGGTGCTTCAGAGGAACTCCCCCCGACTTCCAAGCCTGGAGGCACCTCAGGTGGCAACGTCAAGGGAAAAAGTCGTGGTTGGCCCTGGGGCCCGGGAGTGTATTCACCTGCACCACCAGCGGTTTGGGCTTTGGCCCTCTCTTCCGGTATCCCATCAGCTGCTCCTGCCGTTCCCTGCGGAGAGGGGACAGAGCGCAGTGCTGTTAGCCTCAGGCACTTCCCCTCCTGCTAAGCCCCCCACTGTGGTGAGCCGTGGCGCCAGGCAGAACCAGAGGGAGCAAGGGCTCAGGGCAGAAGGTAGCCTCCACTGTCACTTGGGCGCCTCGGTCCGGTTCCAGAGTGCCACTTAATCCCAGCACCAACCCTTATCTGCCCAAGGGGCCCTCTCCGAAGAGCTCCCCCACCTCAGATGTCCATACCTGAAAGGGGGCCCCCCACAGCCCTGAACCTTTGCCTGCAGCTTGACACTGGGCAGCTTGGCACTGGTGCCCACAGCCTTGGGCCCGTGGCCCTGCACAAAACGCAGTGGGCTCGGGGGTCCAGGGGATGAAAACGAGTCCAAATGAGGTGAGCGTCAACCGGGTGCCTCCCCGTCAGAGGCACGGGATGCTAATGACCTCATTAAGATTCAGATAACGAGTGCCGCCGGCAGAAGGGAGGACTCGTTTTCTTAAAGGCCAGGCACTAAACAGGGGGAGGGGCTGCGCCCTTGTTTACACAGCGGCAAATGAGCCAATTAGGGGCTGGGGGCGGGGGCCGGACACCAAGGCCAGGGCCTGGCCAGGTTCGCAGCCACCAGGTGAACCAGCTCTGGTACGGCTGGGGCGGAGCTGCTGGGCGGGGCGACGCACAGAAGCACCGCCTACTCGAAGAGCCCGGGTTCCCAGCTTCCCTTCATTTCCAAATTAATAAAGCCCGTGGGCGGTGGCGCTGGTCAATACAGCTGTCAGGCTTTCGCTGGCAGTCTGGTGGAGGATGATCCGAGGTTGGGAGGAGGGTGGTCCTAGCACTGCCCAACCCTCCATGGCAGAAGCGAGTGCCTCTCCAGCGTAGGCCAAAGTTGCAGCCCATTCCAGATCCTAGGCACCCCTCTAACCCTTGGGCTAACCCAGAGTTCTGTCATGCCTGGGGGCCTGACTCCAAAGTTGCATGGCATTGCAACAGCCTGCATTTTAAATCTTTGGGGATCCATTATGCAACATGACATCAGCCGCTGACATGGTTACAGGCTGGTGAACTCCCAGGTGGAACCCGGGCAGGATCCCTTTTCGGCGCCCTCCTGCGTCAGGAGGGCAACTTCCCTGATGGTCGCTCCTTCCGAGGGGCTAGCGTTTACAGTTTGAGAGGCAAACGCTCTACAGGAAATAATGCAAAATAAAAGGGGGAGGGGGAATGGAAGGCCACGGCGTGGCCCAGCTCCGCGGGCTCCTGCTGCTCCGCCCCTCCTCGATCGCCCTTCCCCCTTCTGTCCTCCCGAAACAGAACCACAGCCACCGGTGGTGAATCCAGCTGCAGCAGCTGCAGCGTGACAAGCATCTGTGCGCGCGACGAACCCCTCGTCAGAAGCCACCCCTCCACCACCAGGCAGTGCCCACCCCACAGCGGGTGGGCCAAGCTCCCCCTGCCTGAGAATGGGGGCCAGACCCACCAAGTAGCCTAGTGGGAGGTGTGAAGGGCACGCAGCGCCAGACAGAATCTGCCCCCTGTCGACCCCAAGCTCCCTGGGGGGTGAGGGTGGCGGCTTAAGGTCTTGTAAACTTTTCTCCAGTCCCCAACAGGTTAAGTTCAGTTCTGTGACGTCCGGAGGTTTCACAATGCCAGCTCCCTTGGAGCTGCCCCGAGAGCTGCCCGTGCCAAGCGGCCAGTGGCAGCAGGAAAGAAACACCTAGGCTCCGGGGGTGGGGTTCCAAGGTAGCCACGGGAGAGGGGCCGGCAGGGAACCGAGGCGCAGCCCCAACTTCTCCGCGCAGCTGTAGGGCCACCCGCAAGCGCCCTTCCCGCAGTTCCCCCAAACACAAGCCTCTCCTTCTCCGGGCCTGCCCCGCCCCCACCCCAAGCTGCAGCAACCGCCAAGGACGTTGGTTAGAGGAGCCGAGGCCCCAGTCGTGCCCGTTCAGACCCGGGGGAGGGGACTCCTGCCAGCCCCCCTCGCGGCCCTTTCCCCCTGTCCTGTTGCAGCGTTGGCCCACTCTCCCATTCCCATATACGGTCACGGCTGCCAGCGGCGGGTGCTTGGGGGACGCTCACCTGTTCTGGAAGGCGATCAGCAGACGGGGATCCAGGATGTTCTCCTCGGGTTCCCACGTGTTATATCTTGCAAGGGAAAAGGGAGGGGGACACGGCGTAAAAAAAAAACCGAGCCAGCTTTGTGGCCTCCAGGTGGGGAATGACATAAGGCCCTACTCTGTCTTCATGAACTGAAAGCTATTTAGCTGTGGATGTGGGGGGTGGAGAGTAAATTTCTGCAGGCCTGACACGGTCCCTGATACACCCTCCCCAAGTCAAAATAAACACACAAGGGCAGGAAGAAAGGGGAGGGGTAAGGAAAATGAAACTAGCAGTTTATTTTGCAGTTGTCAAGAATTTTAAGCATGTTACTGCGACATGTTCCAAAGCCACTTTGCTCACCAGGAACCCTGCGTGCAAAGCAGCCAAAATGCAAAGTCGCAGTCCCCTCCTCCTCTCCCCAGCCCCGAGTCTCCGCGAGGGCTTCAGCCATTCTCCATTTGACCCCTAATCCGATCACCGTCAGCCACGCGGCCCCCCCACACCCCCTCGCGGCCCTGGACCCCGCTGTCACGGGCAAGCAACCCCCAAATACTCAGCAACACAAAAATATGCCTCTGTGTGTGTGTGTGTGTGTGTGAGTGTGTGTGTGCGTGTGCCTGCGCGTCTGTCTCCATCCGGTGCCTTCGCATTTCAAATTAAAAAAAAAAAAAATTCCCCACCAAAAGCGCCGCAGTGACAGTTCCCAACATTTTCTGCCTTTTTTCTTCCTCTCCCTGCACCACTAGGAGGGAAGAGGCACACAATTGCATTTTCGTCGCTTTTTAATTTTTTTTTTTTTTTTGGTTTTGCAATATGGAGCCGTTCGGTGGAGGGAAAGGGGAAAGGAGCCATTTTCTGCTGCACATCAGTCAGTGCCTGCGCCCTCCCTCCCTCCGCCGGCCTCCCCGGCTCGGCCCCGCGTCTCTCCAGCTCCTCCGGCTCCTTTTAGTGCATAAATTAGTGATGGCATTTCCCGGAGAGCGGAGTACAACACAGGGCGCCGGGCTCGGGCTCGGCGGCTCGGCTTCCCCAGTGCCTGCCACCGACTTCCCCACCCCCTCCTCCCTCCACCCCACCTCCACCCCGCCTCCCGTCCGCTCCCCCCACCACCCCACCAGCCCGGCTGGTCCGGAGCCCGGGAGCCCCGCGCCTCGGCACCAGGCTCCCCCGCCCCTCGGCCGCTACTTACTTGGGGGACCAGCCTCTCCATTTCACCAAATACTCCACTCTGCCCTGAGGGGGGGAAGAGACAGCACTCCATCAGCTTCCGCGGGATCCCCGGCCCCGGCCCGCAGCCTCCCCACCCCCCTCCCCGCCTCCCCGCGGGCTGCTCCGGCTGCCGCTCCCCCGCCGCCTCGCCGCCGCCCCCGCGCCGCCCTACCTTGCGGATCCGCTTCTTCTCGATGCTCTCCACCGCGAAGACGTGCTCGCCAACAGCTGGCAGCTCCATGGCCGAACCGGAGCGCGCCGGGGCGCGGGCGGCCGGCGCGGCTGCAGACGCTGCTGGCTCCCGCCGGCGCCCCGCTGCCGCCCCGGCCGAGGAGCCCCTGCCGCCCGCGCCGCCGCCGCTGCCGCCGCTCGTCCTGCACAGCCCGGCCGCCCGCCGCTGCCCGCGCCCGCCCCGGCTCCCGGCTCGCGCTCGCTGAGACAACTGAGCCCGGGCCGCGGCTGCACAAGAACTCATGCAAATCCGGACGTCAGCGGGCGGGGCCTCGCTGGGCCCTGCTCGGCGTCAGGGGGCGGGCCGCGGCCGGGATTGGCGCAGCCCGGCCTACCGGAGGCCCCGGGCCTGGGCGGCGGGCGGGGCGGGGGGGAGGGGGAGGAGGAAGGGAGCGGGAGGGGGCCAGGAGGAGGAGGAGGGCGTCGGGGAGGTGCAGGGGGAGGGATCGTAGAGCCTGGGAGAGGGACGCTGGAGGGAGGGAACGGGACCGGGCCGGACAGAGGTGTGTCGGCGGGGGGCCGAGGCGGGGGTGAAGAGCCTTGCGGGGCCGCGAGGATCTGGCTGCGACCCCTCGCCTGCGGCCTAGCGCCTTGGCCTGCCCCCTTCGCCTCTCGTTCTCAGCGTACACTGCCCGGGGACCCCTGCCGGGGGCCACGGGAGCATCCACTGCAGTTTCCATTTGCACCGAATTGCGTCATGTGCAGACTCCCAGGGGGTCGCCGGCAGGGGGCGGAATCGGAGCCGGGGCAGCTCGCGCCGCGCCCCCCCCCCCCATCCCCGGCCCCGCGGGTCCCGCCGCCCCTCCTCGCCCCGCCCCACGAGGCTGAGGGCATTAAGGAAGGCGAGGAATGGAAGAGAAAGGATAGGGAGGAGAGAGAGGACTGGGTGCAAAGGATCGCCAGGGAGAAGAGCTCCGAGAGGAGAAAGGGGATAGAGGAGCAGCCAGTTTGGGGCCCTAGAGCTCAAGAACCCTACCAAAGCGTTCTCGATCCCTCCCCGAATCCTGCTGGGCTCCTCATTTACCCTCAACACTGTCTTTGGCCGGGTGAGGGCGGGAGGTCCAGTTTCCAGCAGCAACCCTCCACCCCCACCCCGCGGCCAACACGGCGTGAGGCAGGGAGGACAAAGAGGGGACGAAGAGGATGTCCAGGTCTACTTGGGGGCCCGAGAGCACTTGGTGGGGTCCCGGGAAGGGCTTCGAAAAGAGAAGGCAGGGAAGGCCAAGAAAGGATTGAAACCGCGCCGGGCACAGCGGGGCCGCACGCAAGGGAGGCGAATGGAATGGCCGAGCAGCCAAGCGCTGGTCACGAATTTACGTTCCCTGGTCCACGGCCGGCAGGCGCGGCCGAGCCGAGGCCCTTCCGACCCGGCCGGAGAAGCCGCCGAGTGTGAAGTTTAGCACCTCCGGCGGCGAGACGGCGCGTTCCGGCGTGCAGCTCAGGCGTCCGGCTGGGGGAGCTGCTGCGCCCCACTCGGCCTCCCGAGGGCGCCGCCCGCGGGGCCGCGAGCTCTGTGGGGTCGGAGTGAGAGGTTGGGGGGGCTGGGGAGGGGGCAGGGAGACCCGAGTGACAGGGGCAGGGGCGCGCCTGCCCGGGGGTGTGTCCGGGCCCCCGGCTCCGGGCCCTTGAAGGACCGGCAGCAGGAAGCTTGCGCAATCTCTTGGCTGAGCGTCCGTGGAAGAAAGGAAAGGAGCAAAAGCAGAGCGAGAGTGGAACGAGCAAGGGGGGCGGGCAAAGAGCCATCCGGGTCTCCGCTCCCGCCCTGACACAAGTCCCAGAATGCTGGGTGGGGACTGCGCCGGGGCTCGAGCGGGCGGGGGGAGGGGCGAGGTGCGGAAGCGAACCCCCCAAAGCCTGTTTGGGGCTCCTTTTCTCCCAGGAATCCAGGAGGAACCTGGAAATGGTCTGGTGTTTCAGGACACACACATGGACTCCACCATTTCACCACCACCTCGCAGCTCCCGTGGCTGGGCGGCTTCTGCTGTCTTGGCGGCCGTTGCCCAAGCCTGGAGGGGTGGGGGGGCGGGGATCCCTTTCTGGCTGCCCCAGAGAGGGGTTCGGTCTGCAGCGTTTGCCCTCTGACAAGCTTGAGGCACAAACACAGGATTTCCCCGAGAAGGTGTTGGGGGGCGCGTCTGGCTGGGTGGGGGCGAAGCCTTCCTGTAGTCCTGGGGAAAGGGGGCTCTCGGGGTTTATAGAAGCTGGGAGGGGGACGCAGGAAAAGGTTTTCCTCCTGTTGTTTTGAGCTTTTTCCTGACCCTCGTGTCCAGGGCGAGGAGCTCTCTTGTGGGATAACTTGACGTAGAAGGGGACGGGTCCCTGAAGTTGGCGGAGGAACCGCTGTCAGCGCGACAGTCACTCTTCCGAACTGAGCCTACCAAACTGCCACGCCGTCGGCAATGTCAGTCTGTCGGGAGATCTGGAGCGACCTCGTCCAGGACAGTCCCTTCGTCCAGGGAGGGTCTGAGCTTCCCGACACTCCGCCCGCCCCCTCGCTAGAAAACCCCCCGAAATTTTTTTCCAATGGGTGTTTTCGAGGCGTCCCGGGCAGGGGCGCCGAGGGAGGGCGAGCGGCCGCTGCAGCCTCCGCGCCGCCAGGGGCGTCGGACTCCGCAGGCAACGTCTCAGCTCGCTCCGCCCGCGCCCCTCCGGGGCCCAGGCTCGGGATCTCGGGGGCCACGCGGTGGCACCCGGTGCCCCGACGGCGAATTTGCGCAGGATCCGGGCTGGCCCTGCTGCCGAGCTGGGGAGGATGGGTGGGATGACCCGGCCAACACGGCGGGTCTTTTCTGAAGCTGCCGGTGTAACCGTGCGAGCAGCCGCAGTCTCCCCAACACTTCGGGAGGGGACGCCCAGAAGCTCCTCGGAAGCCCCGGGAGTCCCCGGCCGCCCCCGGTCCCGGCTTGGAAAGTGACCGAAATACACAAGCCGAACACGTGAACTCGCGTGGTTGTTTCTTTCGTCCTGGCGGTGGGTGGGCCAACGTGGAGAGAGGCCGACTCCCGGAGCCGGAGCCTTGTCTCACAGACCGGCTGTAGACCACCGCTCACCTCCCGGCGGGTGTGGGGCGGAGCTCAGGTTCTCGGGGCTGTGAATGGGCTGCAGGGATAAGGAACGGACAGAAACAGAGGTGTGGGAAACGGTGAGCCCTCGAAGCTCCCCCGCTGTGCCCTGCAAGCCCCTCCTGGAAAATCTCCCGTGGGGCCTCCCCTACCATCCCACCCTGTCTTGGCCCCTCCGAGGGAGTCGCAGACAAGTGCAGCTCTAAATACGGGATTCCCAGAGCCTTCAGCTGGGGCCCCTGCCTCCGACCCGGGATATCCCGAGCCCACGGGGAACCCCGGGGAAGGGTCGTCGGCCTGCCGTTTTGACGCTGCCCCCTTCCAGCCGGAGGTAGATCGCACCTCCTGGTTCCCCTGAAGGGCTGAAGTCCTCTGGGTGCCACCTCGGGCTGGGGCCCCTAGGGGCCCTCAAGGGCCCCAAGAGAGGAGCGGTGCTTTCTTGAGGAGTTCAGGCGCCCGCCCCGAGGTCAGAGGGCCGGAAGAGCAGAGCCTGGAGCAGTCTGGAAATTTTTAACGGCCCTGGACCCGAGGGTGGTCATTGACAATTCGGGTCCCTAAGGGACCTGACCCATGTCAACTCGGGGAAGCAAACGACTTCTTAAAGAAACTCTCTCTGAATGGACACTCTCTGCCAGGAGATGCCACTACCCACCCACTGAGCCCAGGTCTGGGCTCTGCCCGGAAGGGGCCGCCTGTGACTTCCCCAGCTAGTCCCCCCCTAAGAAAGCCTTCTAGTTAGTGTGACTTTTTAGGGACCCCGAGGTGGATTTTGAGTAGCTGAGGGAGAATTTACTAGCAACGTCTACAACATCTGCCCAGGCATTGACTAGAGTTCATTTCTCTCTTCTGTTCTTAGTAGGGGAACTTGTCTTTGACTTCAGCTCTGGCATATGTAATTTTGCATTTTAGCGCTGGCTTTGGGGGAGCTGGCCTGGTGGGACTGTGTGTGTGTGTTGGGGGGGGGTGTTGTTATTGATGGAGGCGAGGAGAGCAGGGAGGCTGTGTGGGAGCCCGGAACGCTGACCCGTGCACCTTCTCCGAGGGATGACTTTGTCCCTAAGGGCGCCCCTCCGCCCTCTGAGGCCCCACACCCATGTTTCTGCTCTTTGTCGCACGGCCCGCCAAGGGTCGGCTTTCATTTCGGTGGTGAAGCCCCTGACGCCCCCGCGTCCGTCTGCAGAGAGCCGCTCTGAGCTGGAGCTGGGGTTCCAGGTGGGAGGGCCAGGCAGGGTGAACGGGCGGGGAACGGATCTGGCGCGCTGCAAGGTCGTGGCCCCTTGGGGCAAGCATTGGGGCCACATTGACGGCCGCAGGGCCGCGCCTCCGCATTGCGGCACGCGGGGGTCGCCGGCGCCGAAGCGGGACGCGTCGTTTTCTACGACGTCGGCTGGTCCACCCCCTCCCAACCTCAGGGCAGCTTCCCAGATTCGCTAGCAGAAGCCCACTCAGCCCCGGTCTCAAGTTCGGTCGCAGGGCTCCCGCCCGCCTGGAGATAGGCGCCCCCAGGATCCATATTTCAAATATAATCTTTGGTGTCACTTCCACCGCCTGCCGCCGCCGCCGCGCACACACAACGGCCTCTGCGTGCTGTGTGTTCTTCATTTGGGGTTCGTTTGCCCAAGGACTCCCCGCGGGTCTCCTGTGCCTAAGCGGTTCTCCCCACTCACACGCGCCCCTGGTTTTGCTCTCGGGTGCTTCCGTTGCGCCCTCCAAACCCTGCGGGGCCCACACACAAGGCAGATTTCTTTCTTTCCTTTTTCCAACCAAGAGCTGCTGCAGCAAACCCGGGAATAAAATTAAAATCTCCAGGCGCACCCCGAAGTAGTAGTCAGCCGAAGCGTAACTGCTACCCCACCCTCCCCCTAGCCCTGTGCGTGCCCCCGTCCCGGCCTCGCGGCGCGCTGAGGGTTAAGCGCGCGCAGGAGTGGGTAGTTGGCGACGGAGGAGG